GACACAGAATTGTTACTGAGGGACACAGAACCGTTACTGAGGGACACAGAATTGTTACTAGAGGGCCACAGAACCGTTACTTAGGGCCACAGAATTGTTACTTAGGGACACAGAATTGTTACTGAGGGCCACAGAACCGTTACTTAGGGCCACAGAATTGTTACTTAGGGACACAGAATTGTTACTGAGGGCCACAGAACTGTTACTTAGGGCCACAGAATTGTTACTCGGACAGACACAGAATTGTTACTCAGGGACACAGAATTGTTACTGAGGGCCACAGAACCGTTACTTAGGGCCACAGAATTGTTACTCAGGGACACAGAATTGTTACTGAGGGCCACAGAACTGTTACTTAGGGCCACAGAATTGTTACTCAGGGGACACTGAATTGTTACTGAGGGCCACAGAAACTGTTACTTAGGGCCACAGAATTGTTACTCGGACAGACACAGAATTGTTACTCCAGGGACACAGAATTGTTACTGAGGGCCACAGAACCGATACTTAGGGCCACAGAATTGTTACTCAGGGACACAGAATTGTTACTGAGGGCCACAGAACTGTTACTTAGGGCCACAGAATTGTTACTCGGACAGACACAGAATTGTTACTCAGGGACACAGAATTGTTACTGAGGGCCACAAAAACCGTTACTTAGGACCACATAAACGTTAATCAGGGACACAGAATTGTTACTGAGGGCCACAGAACCGTTACTTAGGGCCACATAATTGTTACTCAGGGACAGACACAGAATTGTTACTGAGGGACACAGAATTGTTATGAGGGCCACAGAACCGTTACTTAGGGCCACAGAATTGTTACTCAGGGACAGACACAGAATTGTTACTCAGGGACACAGAATTGTTACTCAGGGACACAGAATCGTTGAATTAAAGAGTATGTCAGACAACATGCAGAGGAGTGGCAGAGGAGGCAATGTTTTAGGAGCGAGCAGACGTGGCAGCAGAGGAAGGGGTCGAGGCAGCACTATTCGCAGCCAGAGGCCAGTGCTCCCGGCGTCATCCAGCGGTCGTGTCTCCACCGACAACCCTGCCGTCGTCGATTGGTTGGCTCGGTCGTCTTCCTCTTCCCAGGTCACCTCTGACACCTACAGCCAACGGTCGGTGGGTACGCCAGACACAACCGTTAGTTGGCATGGTCCGGGACCAAGCCCACTGAAATCACGTGTCCTCTACCTGCCCCTGTCCTTTGGTGTTCCCTCACCAAGCGAAGTATCGCATGCTGTGGGCTCAGCCCACTGTACAGTGAGGAAGAGCTAACAGAGGGCGGTCAGGAACGGGGGGGGAGACATCCGCCTTTTCAGCAGCCAGGCGAAGAAGTAGTGGTGAGGAGAGTGGCTCGGTAGCCGGTCTAGAGACAGGTCTGTCTCCTGACCCAGACGCAGCGAGGGGGCTAGTAGTGAGGCGGAGACCCTACTTGATGATGAGGAGGTTGATCGCACTTGGCAGCCTCGTCGTCATCAGGCAATTTCTTCCGCATCATCAGGAGAAGAGGGTGGCAGCTTGGCAGCGAGCGAAACAGTCGGGTTGCCCAGGAGACAGCAGCAGGGTCGCAGCAGTGTCAGTGGAGCCAAACGGCCACGGAGTAGAGCACCAGCTCCACTGCAGCCTACCACCACGGCCAGTAGTGGTGCCGGTGTGCACGGAGGAAGCAGCAGTCAGCCAGTGAGGAGTATCGGGGGCAAAGTTTCCTACTCGGCGGTTGTGGCAATTTTTCGTCAAGCCGCCCGAGGAAGTAAACGTAGCCGTATGTCGACTATGTGGCCAGAAAGTCAAGCGTGGCCAGGGGGCCCATGTTGGGACTACAGCGTTGCGGCAGCATATGCAGCGTCGCCATTTGGTGGCCTGGGAAAACCGTGATAAAGATACGGCGGTTCTGCCCGCCCCAGCCCCCGCTCCATCACCCGCTCCGTTACTTGCTCCGTCACCCGACGTCAATCGCCCTCCATCAGCCAGTCAAGGCTCCAACACCTCTGCTGAGGGGAGTTGTCGCTCGTTGGCATCTTCCGCTCGTTCAGATGCTCCTTTCCTGCTACTCCTCTTCACGGATTCCGTCAGCAGTCTTTCTTGGAATCCGTTTCCAAGAGACAACAGTTTGCGAGCACGCACCCGACGGTGCAAAAAGCTGAACGTCCTCCTGTCCAAGTTGCTGGTGCTGCAGTCCCTTCCTTTCCAAGTGGTGGACTCAGCACCTTTCCGAGAAATGATGGCTTGTGCCGCGCCGCGGTGGAGAGTGCCAAAGCCGTCATTTCTTCGCCAAAAAGGCAGTGCCAGCCTGCATTCACATGTAGAAGAGATGGTGGGCCAGTCTTTGAGCATGTCGGTCTCTGCCAAAGTGCACGGCAGCGCCGACGTGTGGAGCTGTAACTACGGTCAGGGACAGTACATGTCATTTACGGCCCACTGGGTGAACGTGGTGCCGTCACAGCCGCACCAGCAACTTGGACAGGTCACGCCGCTTTTGCCTCCACGTTTGCACGTCCTTGGTCCACAAAAGATGTCCGCCTCTACCACCTCTTCTTCGCCGTGTCCTCAGCCGCCCCCCCGTGCCAAGTCCCATTACCCGACCGGCATATCACATGTGCAGGGCGCAACGGTGTCACGCTGTTCTGCACCTGGTATGCCTTGGCGAACGTAGTCACACAGGGGAGGAACTTCTGAGTGTAATGAACAGAGAAATCGACAGATGGCTGTCTCCGCGCAAACTGAAAATCGGAACCATGTTGACCGACAACGGAAAGAACATGGTGTCTGCTCTGCGTCAAGGAAGGTTGTGCCATGCGCCATGCATGGCTCACGTGTTCAATCTGGTTGTCAAGCGGTTCCTAAAATCCACCATCCCACTGCAAGACATCTTAAAATGTCACGTAAACTTTGCATGCATTTCAGCCATTCCTACACCGCAAAGCACACCCTCATTGAGCTGCAGCGGCAGAACGGAATTCCACATCATCGCCTGATCTGCGACGTTGCAACAAGGTGGAATTCAACCCTACACATGTTAGACCGCCTTTACGAGCAGCGAAAGGCCATCACCGATTTCCTGATGTTACAAGCGGATTAAAGGTACTCCCCTGTGTAACTTCGATGTCAGCCATTGGCAGCTCATGCGTGACACCTGCCGCTTGCTCAGGCCCTTTGAGGAGGCCATGCTATTCATGAGTCGGCAGGGACTATGGGATGAACGACGTCATTCCTCTGTTGCACGTCCTTGAACAAATGCTGTTAACAATGGCTGGTCAGGGGGCGGTAGACGTGGCGCACAGATCTCAACGCCACATGACCCCTGTGGGGCAGGACAGGAAGAAGAGGAGGAGGTAGAGGAGGACATTTGTGCTCAGGAATTATTGAGTGAAATGGGTGGTTTTTCCACTCAGCGGACAGGAGTGGAGGAGCAGGAGCATCTGGTAGAGGAGGAGGAGGAGGAGACAGAGGACCCAGACGCACCGTGGCAGTATGCTGTGGAGATGGAGGCAGGGAGTCCCTCGCATTCCTTGGCACAAATGGCCCATAGCATGCTCGGTTGCTTGCGTAGCGACAGCCGAATAATAACCATCAGACAGAGGGATGACTTTTGGCTGTCCACCTTGTTGGACCCTCGCTACCGTTCAAAAATGGTGGCCTTTTTCACACCTGCTGAGAGGGAGGCCAAATAAACGTACTATAAAAACCACCTATGTAGTCAGTTGGTCTTGCCTTTGTGCGCCAACGTCCATCCTCAGACACTGTGGGCCCTGTGCGCTCGCGTTCCGCTGCCATGGCAGCAGGGGAGGGGTCGGGTGGTAGGAGCAGTGGCAGCTCCACCAGCAGCGGCTGCCTCAGTCTGCAGTCGATGATGAGTAGCTTTCTTCACCAGCGCAGTGAGGAAACTACTAACCAGCCGCAGCAGCAGCAGCAGCAGCATCAGGTGGACCTGGAGCAGGACCTCAAACAACAGGCTTGGGCCTACTTGGACAGCACCCTGCAACAACCGAGGTAGACAATCCCTTGACTACTGGGCAACGAAACTTGACCTTTGGCCCCAACTAGCTGAATTTGCCCTTGAAAGGCTGTCATGCCCGGCCAGTAGCGTGGCATCGGAGCGCGTGTTTAGTGCGGCAGGAGGTATTGTAACTCAGCGGAGGACACGACTGTCCACCCAAAGTGTGGAGAGACTCACGTTTGTGAAAATGAATCAGGCGTGGATTAGTCTGGATTTCAAACCACCAGTTCCTGACACAACTGACTAAATCCGCCATGAATCATGCCAAACATGTGCCACTTTCAGGTCTCCTCACACACTGCTGGTGTGTTCCATTTTTTGTCATAGGGTGCTGGCAGATTACGGGCCTCCCATAGCTGCTGCCAGGCCCCTAATCTGCCATAGGCCCCTATATACCGCTCCTCATGCTGCTGCCAAGTCCAGAGTCTGTCATGGGTCCCTGTACGGCCTCCCATTGCTGCTGTCTCCATCGCCACACTCTGCCATGTGCCACTTTCAGGTCTCTCACACACTGCTGGTGTGTTCAATTTTTTGACATAGGGTGCTGGCAGATTACGGGCCTCCTATAGCTGCTGCCAGGCCCCTAATCTGCCATGGGCCCCTGTACGCCTCCTCATGCTGCTGCCAGGTCCACAGTGTCTCATGCCATGTGCCACTTTCAGGTCTCCTCACACTGCTGGTGTGTTGAATTTTTTGACATAGGGTGCTGGCAGATTACGGGCCTCCTATAGCTGCTGCCAGGCCCCTAATCTGCCATAGGCCCCTATATACCGCCTCCTCATGCTGCTGCCAAGTCCAGAGTCTGTCATGGGTCCCTGTACGGCCTCCCATTGCTGCTGTCTCCATCGCCACACTCTGCCATGTGCCACTTTCAGGTCTCCTCACACTGCTGGTGTGTTGAATTTTTTGGACATAGGGTGCTGGCAGATTACGGGCCTCCTATAGCTGCTGCCAGGCCCCTAATCTGCCATAGGCCCCTATATACCGCCTCCTCATGCTGCTGCCAGGTCCAGAGTCTCTCATGGGTCCCTGTACGGCCTCCCATTGCTGCTGTCTCCATCGCCACACTCTGCCATGTGCCACTTTCAGGTCTCTCACACACTGCTGGTGTGTTGAATTTTTTGACATAGGGTGCTGGCAGTTTACGTGCCTCCCATTGCTGCTGCCAGGCCCGTAATCTGCCATGGGCCCCCGTACCGACTCCTCATGCTGTGACGTTGCAACAAGGTGGAATTCAACCCTACATATGTTAGACCGCCTTTACGAACAGCAAAAGGCCATCACAGATTTCCTGATGTTAAAAGGGATTAAAGGTCTCCCTGTGTAACTTAGATGTCAGCCATTGACAGCTCATGCGTGACACCTGCGCTTGCTCAGGCCCTTTGAGGAGGCCACGCTATTCGTGAGTCGGCAGGACTATGGGATGAACGACGTCATTCCTCTGTTGCACGTCCTGGAACAAATGCTGTTAACAATGGCTGGTCAGGGTGCGGTAGACGTGGCGCACAGATCTCAACGCCACATGACCCCTGTGGGGGCAAGGGACAGGAAGAAAGAGGAGGAGGTAGAGGAGGACATTGGTGCTCAGGAATTATTGAGTGAAATGGGTGGTTTTTCCACTCAGCGGACAGGAGTGGAGGAGCAGGAGCATCTGGTAGAGGAGGAGAAGAGGAGACAGAGGACCCAGACGCACCGTGGCAGTATGCTGTGGAGATGAGGCAGGGAGTCCCTCGCATTCCTTGGCACAAATGGCCCATAGCATGCTCGCTTGCTTGCGTAGCGACAGCTGAATAATAACCATCAGACAGAGGGATGACTTTTGGCTGTCCACCTTGTTGGACCCTCGCTACCGTTCAAAAATGGTGGCCTTTTTCACACCTGCTGAGAGGGAGGCCAAAATAACGTACTATAAAAACCACCTATGTAGTCAGCTGGTCTCTGCCTGTCTGCGCCAACGTCCATCCTCAGACACTGTGGGCCCTGTGCGCTCGCGTTCCGCTGCCATGGCAGCAGGGGGGGGGTGGGGTGGTTGGAGCAGTGGCAGCTCCACCAGCAGCAGCTGCCTCAGTCTGCAGTCGATGATGAGTAGCTTTCTTCACCAGCGCAGTGAGGAAACTACTAACCAGCCGCAGCAGCAGCAGCAGCAGCATCAGGTGGACCTGGAGCAGGACCTCAAACAACAGGCTTAGGCCTACTTGGACAGCACCCTGCCAACCGAGGTAGACAATCCCCTTGACTACTGGGCAACGAAACTTGACCTTTGGCCCCAACTAGCTGAATTTGCCCTTGAAAGGCTGTCATGCCCCGGCCAGTAGCGGTGGCATCGGAGCGCGTGTTTAGTGCGGCAGGAGGTTATTGCAACTCCGCGGAGGACACGACTGTCCACCCAAAGTGTGGAGAGACTCACGTTTGTGAAAATGAATCAGGCGTGGATTAGGTCTGGATTTCAAACCACAGTTCTGACACAACTGACTAAATCCGCCATGAATCATGCCCCAAACATGTGCCACTTTCAGGTCTCCTCACACTGCTGGTGTGTTCCATTTTTTGTCATAGGGTGCTGCAGATTACGGGCCTCCCATAGCTGCTGCCAGGCCCCTAATCTGCCATGGGCCCCTATACCGCCTCCTCATGCTGCTGCCAAGTCCAGAGTCTCTCATGGGTCCCTGTACGGCCTCCCATTGCTGCTGTCTCCATCGCCACACTCTGCCATGTGCCACTTTCAGGTCTCCTCACACTGCTGGTGGGTTCCATTTTTTGTCATAGGGTGCTGGCAGATTACGGGCCCCCTTATACAGCCTCCCATAGCTGCTGCCAGGCTGTCCCTAATCTGCCATGGGTCTCTCCCCGTACCGAGGGTGCTGGCTACCTCATGCTGCTAATCTGCCCAGGCCCGTAATCTGTCATGGGCCCCTGTTGTCGCTTGTTGGGCATATTCCGCTCGTTCAGATTGCTCCTTCTCCTGCTACTCCTCTTCACGGATTCCGTCAGCAGTCTTTCTTGGAATCCGTTTCCAAGAGACAACAGTTTGCGAGCACGCACCCGACGGTGCAGAAGCTGAACAGTCCTCCTGTCCAAGTTGCTGCTGCCAGGCTCGTAATCTGTCATGTGCCCCTGTACCGCCTCCTCTCATGCTGCTGCCAGGTCCAGAGAGTGTGTCATGGGCCCCCGTACCGACTCCTCATGCTGCTGCCAGGCCCGTAATCTGTCATGGGCCCCTGTACGCCTCCTCATGCTGCTGCCAGGTCCAGAGTGTGTCATGGGTCCCTGTACGGCCTCCCATTGCTGCTGTCTCTATCGCCACACTCTGCCATGTGCCACTTTCAGGTCTCTCCTCACACTGCTGGTGGTTTCCATTTTTGTCATAGGGTGCTGTATGGCCTCCCATTGCTGCTGCCTCCACCGCCACACTGTGGCTCCACACTCTGGTTTTGGCCCCGTGACTGCCAAATGAGTGAAGTGTGCGGTGATTCTAAGATCGACGGCACTCATCTGCATGTCATACTGACTGACAGTATTATTTCTCTTCCCCAGCAGACTCCAAGGGCATTTAAATTAAAGGTACAGTGTTCTGCACTAATATTAAGTCTCTCTGAAGCCTAGAAGAAAACACCCTTTTTTAAGTTAAATTCACAGCGAATATATTCGACTCGAATCGAAATTTTTCCACGAATTCGCGCCGAATCAGTCGAATCGAATTTTTGAATACTTCGCTCATCTCTAATGGCTTTGTAAGTTGTTAGTATTTTGCATTTTATTCATTGGGTGAGTGGAAGCCAGTGAAGGGATTGGCAGAGAAGATTAGCAGACACTGAATGGTTGGTAAGGTGGAGGAGCCTGGCAGTAGTATTCATGATGGACTGGAGGGGGGATAGCCTATGTAAAGGTAAGCCAATGAGAAGAGAGTTGCAGTAGTCGAGGTGAGAGATAACCAGGGAGTGAATTTAGAGCTTTTTCTTACTACTCTGAAGCCGGAACTGAAATGACTAGTGTCAACAGCTGGGGAGTGGTGACATCATTCCCCTGGACATGTGACAACATTAGGGCCTAGTGGTTGGCTGTTAGACCGGAGCATTGTCACAAGGGAGGAGGTTGCATGCCCTTCCATGCTAAGAAGTGCTTGGCATTCTGGACGGTTGCTTAGTAGGAAGGAAGTGCAGGGTCTGAGTATAAGGGGTAGGGTATTGCTCTTTGCAGAGACATTGTCATTTTGTTCTATATGGGCAAAATGACAGTGTCTTTAATTCTTTCACTGCCATGACATACAGGGCACATACATGGCCATTAAAAGAATGACTTTCCAACACCTACTAACACTGAAATATTCACAAAAACTGTTGAGTTTGTATTGCTGATTTTGTTCCAGAAAAAAAATTACAAACATGCAATTTTTAAATGAACACATTATCAGATTTTATATTTGTCTATAATAAAGAATTGAACTATTTTGCTACATTAGCAGCAGTATGAACACTTTTCTAATGTTCTGTATTCACTGTGATACCTATATAACATACTTTCAGTTGCTGATTTCTCACTTTCAAATCTTAGGTTCCCGGAGAAACATTCACATGAAATTTGAAATCCTAAGGATAAAGCGGAGTTCCACCCAAAAGGGGAAGTTCCGCTTTAAAGATTGGTCCCCGCTCCCCATTAAGGATTGGCACCTTTGGGGAGCGGGTACCCGAAATTGACAGGTACCCGCTCCCACTTCTGCTGTGATCACCTAGGCGATCAAAGCGGAAGTTGTCCTCCTACCCTCCCTCCCTGTAGTCTTGTGGGGCACATGCCAGGTCCCAGAAGATGACGGGGCCATTCAGGAAGAGCAGCGCTACTCGTGCATGCGCAGTCGGCACCCGGCTGTGAAGCCGCAAGCTGTCACAGCTGGGTGCCCACACTGAAGATGCCGGCACCTGGAATACAGGACAGCAGGTGAAACGAGCTGCGGTGGGGAATCGTGGGACAGGTGAGTAGCTGTTTTTTAAAAGTCAGCAGCTACAGTTTTTGTAGCTGCTGACTCTTATTTTTTTACAGAGTGAGTGGAACTCCGCTTTAACAGAAGGTATCAATGACATCACTGATGAACAGGCCAGAAGTAGGGATTCAACAGGATGGGTAATAAAATGGATGATCAGACAAGAAGTAACTGTATCTTGCAGTTTATTAAACAGGGGAAAAGTAGAATCAATAATGCAAAACAGGACCAGATTGGCAAAGAGAATGTATACACTGCAGAATAATACAAAACAGATTATGAAAGCTGCACAAACATGGACTCTTGACAGCAATGTCTCTGTGACTACTTCATTAAAACAGTTCAGAACACAAACAGCTACTTGTGATTATCTTCATAAGCAGGCAACCTGTGGGAGGTATTCCAAATTGAAAGCATCATCCCATTGGGAATGTAAGTGGAGTACTCTGAAAAGGAATTAAAGGGGCCTGCACTTGCATCTGATTATGGTGGGTAAATGGGTACTTTGTTATATTCCATTCAAATTAATTCTGTGCAAAGTATACAGTGGGTCTGCCAAAGTTAGGTCTCTGGGAGAGCCTCAGGGGTGGCATCCAGGTTCCACCCTCCAGGACGAGAAGTGACACGTTTCTGTCTTAGGGTGCACTAGTGGATGGTGGTTCAAAGGAATTAACAGTGGGAGCATGGACTTAAGCTAGGTGACCATTGGGCTTCATGAATCCATGGATTCTCCTGGGTTTCTGGGAGACAATGTTGGAAGAGCAGGAAGCAGCCACGACTGAACATCTGGTAGCAAAGATGTTTGTGACTCACAAACTTGGACAGGTTCTTCAAAAACCTCCTTATGGCCTTTTCTGTGAGTCTCACTGTTGTTGAGTTTACTGTGTAGGTATCACAGTTTTTGTTGGGTTTCTTCTTTCTTGATATTGCAGCTTGGCACACCTGGGATGGACTTCTTCCTGCAATGTTTGTAATTTTCCTTGTTGGTGTGCACGCTTATGTCAGAATAGCACTCTGTCCAAGGGTTGAAGGTCAACGTGTGATGCTTTCAACTCTACTTGCTTAACTCATGACCAGTCTTTGACAAATTGTTGGGCTTAAGACAGACATAATTTCCATTCATAAAGCCAGGTAAATAAAGTGTGTACATGTTCTTCTGTGGACTTTGTGGCCCATAGGTCTGTGGACCCCCCGAGAGTACAGCCAAACATAACATAGTACAGTGAGCAACTTTGGCAAAGTCGTAAATGATGAAACGCGTCGGGAGGTGACGTCAGACGTACACTGGAAGTTGCATAAGGACCTTCTTGGATAAGGTTTTGAAGCCAAAAGCTCCAAATGATAATGAATGCATGCTATTTTACGCTGCATTGTTTGTAAGCGCTTTTTTTAATGGAATAAATTGCTGTTTTTAAAAAAGTAATACACTATGTATGCCTATTCATTTTGATCCATACAAGTCTATTGCAAGACTGGGAATATTGTGGATTGGTATGTGCGGTTTCTTCTATATGCTTTTTGGCTGACATAGTCTGGTAAGGTGTGGAGTGATTTATCACGTGTTACTGGTGGTCACCAACCATTGATTTTGAGTGGAGCACGCAAGAACACCTTCAGTTATTGATGGTATCACACGATATATAAAATATATTTTTCAGAGGTCATATCTTCCATGGAAGGGAGAACAGAAAAGAAGAAGGTGTGATTGGAAGAGCTCTACTGTTGGGATCTGCGATAACGCATTTATATATACACACAGAGGGTAAGGGTAGGAATTACAGGCATTTAGAAGTGATCACATGGCGGAGTGACCAAGCATAGATTTGCTACACATTTTGTGAGTGCATTTCTCTTAGTATAGCTGTGTTCATACTGAGGATAATGCACTTGTGTGTTTATTTTTTGAGGATACTGTCAGGGCTCCCAGGTATGACCAGAGGTGTGTGGCTGACGCAGGGAAACGCAGACCTCAGATATGTTATAAACAATATAATTTATTAACACTAACAATACAAACATAAACGCAGTGCAATACTAAAACATAATACAGTGCAACCAAACCAAACCAAACCAACCACCCACAGATAACAGTACATACAAGCAAGCGTCGTCAGGCAGGCCGGGTCAATATCAATAGGGCAGGTAGGTACAGGGGGAGCAAGCGGAGATTGGTCGGGGTCACAGGCCAGGTTCAGCAGGTAGCAAGCAGCGTAGTACAGAGGGTCAGGCAGAGGGATGGTCAGGGTCACAAGCCAGGGATCAGAACAGGTAGCAAGCAGCATGGTACAGAGGGTCAGGCAGAGGGATGGTCAGGAGCGAGCCGGGATCAGAGCAGGAGAAGTCAGCAGCAGTTCAGAAACAGGATGCAGGACAGAAACAGGATACAGGGCCCAGGACAAACACAACACCAAGGCAGAGTCTGTGGGTCTGGCCATCCCTTAAATACCCCAGCATAATCAGTTCCAGGTGTTAGCTGGCTGCAAAGTTGAGTCTCTGATTGCTGGGAGCATCCGCTGGCCAGCCCTGGTACTGCAGATCAAAAGGCAGGTGAGTCCCACCATTGCGGGCCAGTCCATTCCTGACAGATACCATGTAGAAGATGGATTAAGATTCATGTGTGGTTGAAAACGAAGAAGAAAGAGAATATATGATAGGGACGTTTCACTGTATGGATGCTGATAGAGACTTTTGTTTTGTTTTGGAATTTCTGGGGGGAAAGTGATATCTTTGCGTCTAGGGATTTATACTTAGTGTGGTAATTACAAGGCTACAGGTTGTTTAGATATT